TATATTATTCATATATTATTTCATTTCATATATTTAAGTAGAATAAATATAAAAAGAGAAAAGTTTTTCATAATAATGCATAAAAATGATATTCATTTTGATGTTTGAGTATTATTTCTTTTTTTTTTCAAAATATATAATAAATTACAGTATTGCAAGTATATGGTGAAACTGGCACGGCAATCTACGAATTTTAAAAAAAGACTAAGGCCGGAATTCATAGTCCGATCTTCTATTTAAGATTATCTTAAATCTGATCTTAGGTCGTCTTAAGATTCTATTCAGCCAATAAAATAGCCGTAAAACATTTTCAATCCTTACTTAAGATAATCTTAAATATAAGAACCGACTATGAATACCAGCCTAAGAGTTCCGATAGCACTTTTCATAGTTCTACAGTTCCTGATAAAAATTAAAAGAATTTCGCATTCCTTATGTTAAAAAATCGAATTCGAAAAAATGTGTCCAACTTCGCGAATCTAGTACAACATCCTTCCTTTTAAAATATCAAACGCATTGAATATCATTATTTTTAGCAAGTTTCTGATGGTTCTGTTCAAGTTCAGCGTATATATGCAATTTTCGATATTTGAAAAAAAATAATTTTTAAACAATTTTTGAAATATCGAAATATCTAAAATTGCATATATACGCTGAACTTGAACAAAACTATAGAGAACTGTAATTAAAAAATAATTTTCATAACGTTTTAGTACTTTAGAGGGAGAGTGTCGCGCGTGCTGGGTAATTATAAAAAAAATTTAAAAGATAAACGGTCGAAACTCTGCGTAAAAATGTATCTAAAGGAGAAGAAGTTTTATAAAACTATTAAGAATTATATCGTTAGAATTGCGGAAAATTATTCGCACGATACATTTTCACTAAGTGTCGAGGACATTAAAAATTGATTAAAAATTATTATTTTTCGAATATTGATCTGAAATTGCACATGTTTTTTAAACTTGAATAGAACTATGGGGAACTCTTGCTAAAAATAATAATATTCAATGTATTTTGGTACTTTAGAGGGAAAGGTGTCGTGCTAGATTCGCGAAGTTAGCATCTTTTTTCGATTTAATATAAGAAATGCGGAAGTCTTTTTAATTTTTATCAGGAACTGTAGAACTATAAAAAATTCTATCAGAATTCTTAGTACTTTTTTTAAATTCGTAAACTGTCGTGTCAGTTTCACAGATACCAGTATCCACATAGCATGCATATCCAAAAGATGTCCAGAAAGTGTCCAGAAGGTATCCAGAGACCCAACATATCTTTGGGCGATTAGACATCTTCAGGATGTTTTGTTAATGTCTTTTGGACATAGGGTGCTATATGGGTATATGCATCTATTATAATAAATGTCAAAATTCTAAAAAGACTTTTAAGAAAATACAGGGTATATTTGAAATGATGCACTAAACTTTAGGAGCGTATTCTAGAGGTCAAAATAAGACTTTTTTTCCTATGAACATGGATCCGCAAATGAACCCCCATCCGAACTAGAGGCTCCTACCTAAAGTTTGGAAAAAATTAAAAATTGTATTTCAGAAAAAAAGATTTTGAGATTATCTATCACTCTCTCTTGAGAGATAAATAAATTTGCGTTGCGAATGTTTGGTCAATTTCAGACATTTTCGAAAGCTCGGAGAGGATCCATGTTCATAAGAAAAAAAAGTCTTATTGTGACTCTAGAATACGCTCCTAAAGTTTAGTGCATCATTTCAGATACACCCTGTATAAGATTAGTCTCAAGAAAAAAATAAATCTAGTTATAGAATATTTATCATTTCAAATAAAAAAAAAAGACTTTCATCGATTTCTTTCACTTTCTCTCTCAATTTTAAATAAATATAAATAATATTTCTTTCACTTTCTCTCTCAATTTTGAATAATACACTTAAAGATTTATTTATTAAATCATTATGTTTTTGCATCATCATGAACACATAACATCTCCATATTTCTGATAATTATGTGTTCATGACGCAAAAAGATAATCGTTTAATAAATAAGTGGATCTTGTATGAGACAACAAGTATTGCGTCCGCATTAAAAGAAATAGCACAAATTATACATGCTTGTTTCTGACGCGAAAATTATGTAAGCGGAAATGTAAAAAAAATATTTCCTTCTGATTACATTTCGTTATGAAACAACCTGTGGTTTCGCATAATTTCCTTATAAATGACGTTCATCAACTCATTTTAACAAAATGTTATCGCTCGCATAAAAATCAGATGTAGATAAAAACAAGCGATTATCAAAGAATCATTAAAATTATAATGAGAATAGAAATATTTCAATAATGATAAAATCACTTCTGACTCATATTTCTTTATCTGCTAAAAAAATTTATGTTTTTACATTAATTACTAAAATTGATCGAAGAAGAATTGATTAAAGATGAAATAATTTGTTTATTTTAATTAATTAATTCAGTCATTAATTGATTAATTTTATCAATATATATTACTGAAGAAATTTATGTTATTTCTCTTTTTCTAACCCCTCCGTCCTCTCACTCTCCCTATTATTTATTTTTAAATATTATTTTGCAAGAATTTTTAAATAATAATATTCTTCGCATGGCAATATTTCTAATTCTTTTAAACAGCTGTATGTTTTTATATCTTCTCATATTTAAATAAATTAAATATTTAACTACAACTATAATATTCCCCATAAATGAATTTTCGTTCTTTTACAATATTTTTCTCACTATAGATAAACTATTGATCAGGATGACAATTCAAACAGGAAATTCTATGATAAAATATATTTTAACAAAAAAAAAGTATTCTTTTCACTCGAGATAAGGGCGCCGTATCATCTGTCCGCATAAATGACTTTTCGTTCTCCATAAATGACTTTTCGTTCTTTTACAATATTTTTCTCACTATAGATAAACTATTGATCAGGATGACAATTCAAACAGGAAATTCTACGATAAAATATATTTTAACAAAAAAAAATATTCTTTCCACTCGAGATAAGGGCGCCGTATCGTCTGCCTCGTGGAAACTGTGTCACCATGGTACCGTGAAATGAAATCGATCGAGCTGATTCCATTGCAGTTTGTGTTTACAGTACGCAATATATATTAGCAAAATGCATTACATTTCCGCGAAATATTGCGCTCTAAATCATACTCTCGTCTGCCTGCTATTGTGATGTAAATTGATAAGACTAACAGAAAAGTGGAGTATTCCCCTAACGGAATACGAGATCGCGTTTATTTGAATTTAGATCGCATTCGCTCGAATGCTTATTAGTCTTCGAAATGATTCCTTTTCGTTATCTATGTACTTACTGTTCTCACTTATTTATGTTATCACTAATCCACGTATGACATAGAGGAATGTATAATTTATCACATCGTAAGAAGAGCAAATATATTGCATGCTATGCATGTCTTGCATTTTATTTCAATAAACAATTCAGTAATTTAATTATGTTGAATAAAACGAGAATATTAGAATGGGAAAAATAACACATTTTTGCAAATGTCAAATTTATAATTAATAATAGTCTAGGGGGAAGAAGAAAGAGAGAGAGAGAGAGAGAGAGAGAGAGAGAGAGAGAGATATCTTGAAAATTCAAAAACTTGAATATTATCTTTATTATTATCCACACAAAATGTCTTTATTTACATTTAAATGTTTTTATTTACATTTAAAACCTCTTGACTCTTTTTTTATTTGTCACTTATAAATTATTCAAAATTTCCAACATACATTTACAAACATACAAAATTTACACATAGAGAAAAATGTATACTGTGTTTAAGTAAATATTATTTATTTTAAATATATCATAAGTTTGTATATCCGCAAATATATCATAAGTTCATCACAAGCATTAAATTTAATTGAATATTTTTTGATATTACTGATAAGTGTTTTCTGAATTTTAGTCATATTTTAGTCAAGCATATTAAATTTAAACAAAAATTTGGTTTGCTTATTACATAGAATTGGCGTAAAATAAGTTTGATATTTCTTTAATACAAACTTTACAATATTCTTGAAGAGAAAATAAATTCTTCTTCTGAGTACACGATAATGAGATTTTTCAACATTTGTAATGAATATATTTTAAGACTATTATCAAGAATATATTTTTTGTTGAAGAAAACTATTACTTAAAAAAAGAAAAATAAACTGAGTCGCTTTTCTTGGCAGTAAAATGATATTTTTCTCTGTGCATAAACGTAATGTTGATTACGTAATTTCTTAAAACTTGCATATAAATTTGGAATAATCGATGGAGCGATTTTACGAAAATTTGAATTAATTACTTTTTAAACATTCAAATATTTAAAAGAGAAACTTTATGAAGAATCTGTATTTTCCCATTGCAACATATAGACAAGACAATACATGTGTATATATTGTGTACAGGTGTAATTATTGTAGACAAAGTGTAAATTCCAGAAAAATTTACTAGTATTTAAAAAATTTCCTATTTCAAAATCTCGGAACAATGTCAGGCAGGTAAAGATTAATTGATCCATTAAGAATCCTGGCAGCGTAAATTAAGGAAGAGACTCCATTAAAGCCTAAGTGCTACGCTACATTCCGAAATATCTGAGGGTTAAAATCCCGCGTACTTTCGAAACGACGCATCGCGCGGCTGTCTCCATCCAACTTTTTTCTCTCTCTCTCTCTCTCTCTCTCTCTCTTTCTCGTCTTTTTCTCTCCTCGCAAGTGTCTCGTAAACATCCATAGAGGAGGCGATTGGCAGAAATTACGTATCGCGAGAGAGCAGTGCTCTCGCGCGTACGAAAATGCACCTGCCAATTTAGAGGTTAATCTCCGCTCCCCCTCTCGCTCTCGGTTAAATATCAAACGAGCCGCGCGCGCGACGGTGTCGTCTTGACTGTCAATCTGACAGCCGCCCGAGGCTCGACCCGTAATGTAATTCATCGCCCGGGACGTGGGTTTAAACGACGGTCCCACAGTTCGCGCGCCGCGCATTTAAACTCTCGTGATTTTACTCACCGATAAACAAGCAGAGGAAGTCCACGATGAGCTTTCGCAGAATCAACTTAGATGATCGATCCATGCTGTCGCGAGCGCGCGCTTGTCGCAACTTTCGCTCGCGATGAATTAGACGCTGCGACGTTCAGGTGTCTCCGCGGACAGGTTGCAGTAATCGCTGTAATCGGTAATGCGACGATAAGACTGCGAGCCTCGCGGTCAAGTGCATAAGGGAGCAGGGACAACGTGACGCGGGACTCGAGCGATTCGCGTCATTGACGTTTCACGAGTATTTTACGCGCGTGACGTGGAGCGCGACACTCAACACCCGACGTCTCAGAATGGACTGACTGAGGCGCGCCGCTCATCGGTCGCTCGTCGAGCTCCCCCCCCACCCTTCCTACCTTCCTCCCCACCACCGCCATTCTCGCGCTTTCTCTCTAGGCGCGAATCCGCGACCACCCCGATCGGGATTCAGTCAATGACTGATTCTGCGACTGCGCGCGACAGGAGACGCGCGTTATGCACGTGCTCCGATTACTGCGCGCGCTTGCGAATGACGGCACGTGACCCACGAAAATGGAGCAACCCCATCGGCGAGACGATCATTGAGAAACGATAGTCGAAATAAACATCTTACATGAATATTCGACAAGATCATTTTGATTCGGCAAGATCATTTTAGTTCGACAAGATCATTTTGATTCGACAAAATCATTTTAATTCGATCATTTTGATTGCGCTTTTTTACAATTTTATCGCGAAGAAATAATTATATTATCGCTTAGAAATAATTATAAATAGTTTCGATTTTGGGGAAATAGAATTAGGAAAGAACAAAATATAATATTAACTTAATAGAAATATGTATATAAAATACTAGAGAGAATAAATCCTTTTTATAATCTTGCTTTTACATTGCTATTCAATCTTGTGTTTATTGCGTTAATTTATCCTCATCTTTTAAATTATTTTAAAAAATTCAACCAAAAATATAATATACATTTTCGCTCCGCAGTTATTGTTTTTATGAAATATATATATTTTGTCCGACAATATAGAAAATTTGAATGATTGATAAATTTAACAAATTGAATTACATTTTATTTGCGAAAAATCAATTATTTTCCTATAATCATTTTATTATTTATTATTTATATAATTCATGTTTTCCTCTAAAATTTATTTCGTAAACGATAATAATAATTATGATTAGATACAAACTCACTCCTTTAAACGAAACAAATCATGTTCGTATTGCGTCAGGAATGACGACAAAATCGTGAATAATACGTGACTCTATGCACATCACATTCGATTACGATTTATAAAGAGAAATTGTGCCTTGAATAGTAGCCTTCATCTCCACGTCTGTTACATAATAAAGCTCGCATTCGTATTTAATAGAATGTAACCATTTATTGTATTATTTAATTTCTTAGTTATGTCAAATTATTGACAAGTGAAATAAAGATTACCTTACTAAATTCACTAATTTTTCTAATTTAAAAATATACATATATATAGAGAGAGAAAAAAGGCATTTATTTATTCATTTAATAAATATTTAATTAAATATTTATTCTTATATATAAATATTCCTATATGTAAATTTTACTCTCTTCTCTCTCTTTCTTTCTCTCTCTCAATAAAAAATACACAATAAGAAAACAATAAAAAAATGTTTGCCATTCCCAATTATATGCAGAAAATGATTAGTATATATATATATTGTTTAATTCTTGTTTTTTAATAAAGATGCTAATAAATAATTGTCTTGATATAGAAGATATCTTTTTCAAAGTAGAGTAAAATTAAAATGTAGAAATAAAGGCTTATTAAATATTTTCGATGCAAATACAGTAGTTTTACTGTTTTATGTTATCTGTTATTTGTATCCTTATGGACGTTTGCGAGAAACATTAAATCGCATTAAATCTTTAGCAATCATTTCATTCATATAAAACATAAGAATAAATTCTGAGAAATTAAAAAATGATAATCCAAACTAAAGCTATAAATATACAATCATACTGTAACTTAATTATCTAATTGTAAGTAAAAGATATATAAAAGATTTCTTCTTAATAGATTAAGAATGGCAAGTTTATCAAAATAATTCAATTCATCATTTTTATTTTCTTTGCAGCCATATTAGATTATGATACATCAAAAGCGAAAAATTATACATTTAATTCAAATATAATTTTATCTAAAGATAAATGAAAAGATATATAACAATATAAATAATAAATGTCTAATTCACGAAAGAACATGTTTATATAATAAATACTTAATATTAACAAATTAACATATAATATTTTATCACTCTATCTTTTTATCGTGATACAGCGTTTAAAAGCAAGAAGTGTTTCGAAACAAGCAAAATTCGAAATTTCGGTAATAAAGTCTTCAGAAACTACTATGTGATCTTTTTTTTTATCATAAATTAAGAAACATCATCAAAATTAAAATAATATCAATATTAAAAAATATAAAAATTAATTAATGTTTCTTAACAATTTATGTGCATGATAGAAAAGTTTTAAAAAATTTCAATTGTGTTCACGAAAACAAGTAAAAATAAGCAAATTTAAGATTAATTGTAATATTAATAATTTTATTATACAAAAGCAGAATTGTCTATTTCATTATAAAGAAATTCTCCCTTTCTATATGTATATACATAAATTTAAAAATTATTTACTTTTACTGTAGAAATACAATCTGATTAAAATTGTGATTTCGTTCAATATATAAATTATGTGCAAAATTATGTCACATTTATATTGTAGCAAATATAAGTAATATGATTTATGTACATAATATGATTTCAATAATTAAATGATTAAGTTATTAACGAATATATGTATGGATTGAAGGATTGAGAAATTTCCAATGAAGCTACTGAATTAGATTCAAAGTACCTATCTCTTACTTAAGATACAAGTCATGCGTCTGGCACAGAAAACTAGAATAGTGTGAAATAGTGTCACGTTTACGATAGAATGATAGCGGATGGGCCTACAATTCCAAAGTGACATCGGAATGGCGATAATATCGCTCTTCACACCGGTTTCACATCAAGAGTGAAGCCAAACAAAAGTTCTTATCGCGCTGTTTCAACTCCACCAGCAGTACCACCCGCGGTGCATTCCGTATACGTTCGTGTTACGGAGGCGTTCACGCGTGAATGTAACGTCGCCTCAAGTAACATATGCATATTTAACAGCACCTGCTTATCTTCCCGCACGCGCACTGACGCGTAAGCAAATGAGAAAGAAACTTTTAAAAATAATTACTTACACATTTTAATCGGGAATCATTCAACCGACATATTTTCATGTTTACAATTTTATAATTTTTCGCTTCTGACATCATAATTCGCGATATGTCTCCAAGAATGATGGAACGATAGAAATTTGAAAAATGTTTCGATTATTCGCTTGATAGTGAGATATAATAATTAAAGGCGCGGTAGAAAATATATGAGAAGAGCGTTAAAGAGACAAAAAAAGAATTTTAATTCATGAATCTGTAATATTTACACAGGATCGGCGTATAACGTGACACCGTATTGTATTTTACCACAAGGCGATTACATAATTACACAAATGTACAATGTAGCATATAGCACGAAGTTGTGATAGTCTTCGTATATGTTTGCCTATTATTCTGTAAAACGCTTCTCGGCGATTATTATTGCTAGTTAATGATATAATATAGCGGCACCAGAAATGTCGAATTATATATTATATAATACATACATAGCAGAAGAGAGAAAGAGAGAGAGATAGAACTACCATTCGATCGAAATTTCCAATAAATCTGTGGAATGAATTTTCCGTTCGGAAAATTATTCCTTAGGACTAAAAATTATCTTCCTTGGAAAAAGTCCCATCTTTTTTTAAAAAAAACTACGTATGCTTCGGTTGTATTTTATATAGGAATTGATTTTTCACGAAATACTTTGAAACTTTTCGATTGTATCGACATATTTGTATATTATCGACATATTTGTAATAAAAAAATTGATGAAAAATAAAATTAACATACGCGCAATTGAAATAATTAAATTTTAAAATAAACTCTTAAATGTTTCGGCTTAGGTTTACCTGATGTAATGTCGAGCGTGTGTAATCTCAATATTTTTTTCCATTTTAGAGCGAGATCTTCATTATTTGTTTTTAATTAAAATAAAAACTAAAAATCTAAATGTAAGACTAATTCGAGCAAAAATATCATTTTTTTATAAAAAAATACGAATACTATATTTTGAATATAATAATAAATAATATTTAAATAATTTAAAGCACAAATTATCAATAATTATAAATCATTTTATAAATCTACGTTTTTAAATCAAATTTATATATATTTTATACATGTAAAAAAAACTAAAGTTAAAGGAAAGAACAGTAATATTAATATCCAAAGTGAACAATCTAATTTTCAACTGCGATTTTCAAAATAAAAACTTAATGGAATTTTTTAGTGTTTTAGTTATTGGCTGCAATATACGATTTATATTAATTTCTAATATATCAAATTTGAATTGTTCCCTCTACTTTCGTATTCACACTGATTCACTTCTTCCCTTTAAAGTTTAAGCCTAAAAACTCAACTAAAAGCATTATATAATTAAATTTTTAATGAAATTTTTAAATTAATTTTTCTCGTTGTCTACGAAATGTTAAGTATTTTTCCTAAGATACATATTTTCCATAACAGTATTATTAGCTCACTTTTTATATACCATAAAAAAATAATGTTCAAAATTCATTAGATTTTATAGATAAAGCATGATTTATTCCGTTTGTTCTCTCAATTTTTTTGTTTGTTTTCTTATTCAAATACACGTCATGTAATAGACAATTTACAATTTTTTAATAAAAACAATAAATAAAAATTATTTACTACTAGCAGAAACTATGTTGAAAGAGATCCAACAGATACAGTGAATACATTAATAAAGATAATTGTACAATTAAATAACATAAATTCCAAAATATGGAAAAATTTCGCTTTAGAAAGAGAAAAAAGTTACAGTTTAGTAGTTTTCATATTCGACAAAGACGTTTAAGTACATCTAACACTGCGTTTATATCTGTAGATATCTGTACAAATCTATGATTAGATACCGTATTCATCCTTCAATCTCTGTCAACTGCTTTATCATGTATATTATCATTATATTACGTGTATGTCAATAACAAAACTATCATATCATACAAAGAGATAAAGCTATCTCGCAGCTCCTCCTCTGTCATCTGGCGCACATATTATGTATATTTATGCGTATTTACAATATATATATATCCATTATTACATAATAATAAAACCATTTCTCGGTTTTTCGATGTAACATTAACGTGTTCTATTTTCATTAAAGGTCTAACTTGGTAATGTAATTTGTCCTATCTTTGTATATTTACGCATAAAGCTTGCCATCTTGCTCTCTAATTCCGCAAATATTAGTGGATTATATGCTCTACGGACAAGTAATAGCGGCAATGGCGCAACCGCGAGTGGAATGAAACAAGTCAATAAATTAATAACATAACTAGAATGAATAATCGTGTTGTTTACATAACTCGTAATTAATATTATCTTACACAACATAATTACACTACTGTGATAGCGAATGTAATTATTCATATTTTCTATTATAATGTCTCAAATATGTCATTTAATGCAGTGTGAGACGCGATAATCTCTAAATATATTTTTTACATTTTAACAGATATATAACATGATTATTAGACTACTTCATTAATAGCTATTGAAAAGTAAGAATCTAAACTAACAAGATGACGATTCGTTGTAATCGTAACATGAGAAAAAAATCCATTTTTATAAAGTTATATAAGTAATAAATCCTGAAAGTTGCATACTTATGTAAAAAAGTATCGCGTACTTTTCTCTCTCTCTTTTAATAGCATGGAAATTTGAATTTTTCTTCTTGAATTTTATATGTAAATATATTGGAAAGTTTTCTGTATATATATCATTGATTCATGAATATTGCACTGCACGCAATCTAATATTGCCACGCAAAATAAAATCTAAATACTAAATGTAACTTCTAGATGAATGTTACATATAAATTTAGATGTCTTTCATTAAATCTTATCATTTAAGAAATTATACTTATTTATGTGTGAAGTTTATACAACATTGGTGACGATTCAAATTTTTCAAAATAAATCTATGCAACTGGTCAGAAACATGGGATAATAGAAAACATTTTAAAAAATCGATAAAATTATACCGAGAAACATTAGTGAAAAATGTAAACTTTAACATCGACTGTTATCCGTGTAATTTATAAAAATGCATATAATGCGAGCTATGTATATTTACATAGTCACATCGGTAATTAAAATATGTCCATTACATACAGATCTGTATCTGAGTACAGTTTAATCCTGAAGCGGAAATTGCATGGCACATTAATTGAGATTATTTCATCGATGCAGGTCATAAAGCTTTCGCGTTAAACTTTACTTTCTCAATTATTCTCGCATACTTAAACTCGCATTAACCTTTTATCACAATGTACGTACACATATTATTATGCATTGGTATTTCTCAGGATATACCAAAAGAGATTACCAAAATTCTTTCAACATTCTTTATCTTACGTCAAAATCACGTTAAAAAGATAATTAATTGTATCTTTAAACTGTTCTTTGGTCACCTGCGAAACTAACTTTGGTTAATCCACACTTGCTTAGTTTTATCACAAAAACTATAATTACCCTCTCTTCCTCTATCTTTTATTCAAAATAGCAGATAGGCAAGAATTGTCTATCTTTTAATGAGAAGAAATAAAAAAAGAAGGCTATTCTGTTATCATAGTCATAGGAACCATTCTATAGTCTTCTTATAAAAAGGCGGGGAAAGAGAGGGGCAAAAGCCCTAATTTCATCGATATATATCGCAACGCGCGCAAGAATATATGTGTAAAATGTTGCTATAAATTTACAAAATTCTGCAAAGATCTTACATGAGTTCCATCTCTAATAGTCATCTGCGTGACTCGTATAACGTGAAAGTACTATCCACAAAGCCAGCTGCCATGGTCACGCGATACTGATGAAAGCTCAAACAACTTACAGGACTGAGACGTGTACCCATGAATCCTTCATGGAATTTTATCGTGTTAAGATGCTGACCCGATATATTATAGACACTGATGCAATGATTCGTGGTGCCGCTAAAACAAAAACATGTATTTTGTTTCATATAAGAGAATCAAAATTATCACAAGAAAAATTATATATAATAAGAAGTCCAGAATGATCATTATAACATTGTATATAAATATAACAATGTTTGTTTTTTGCTTACCATGCAAAAACATCAGCTATTTCGTGGACTGTTAATGCCGCAATGCCGGGCGCTATCTGAATCGTGTTTACAGAAGAATTTTTTCTAAGGTCAAAGATTTTGATGTCGCCTGAAGATGAGCCGGTAAACAATTGTGGCGCGGATCCTTCGGATTGCCTCAAGAATGTGCCCAACATCCAAGCCGTGTGTTCTCTCCAAACCATAACTTTCGCTTCCGCGGGAGGTAATCTCCGATCCAAGAGTCGCACCGATCCATCACCGCAGCCTAGCGCCATTATTGCACCTATAAGAATTTAAAAATCGACATGACGTTTATTATTTTATATATAATAAAGAGAAATAGTGTACGAATATATGTGATATAAGATGAAATATAAAATATAATAATGTAGGAGAGATAAAATGTGACTCGTTTAAACAACCTGTGCCGTCAACATCCATACAGGTGGTGCAACAATCGGCACCTGTTGGGATATCTTGCTTCTTCAATTCGGTCTCCGCGTCCCAGAGTCTTACAATACGAACATCGCCCGTTACTGCTAGAGTGAGAGACTTTTGCTCCCACTTCGTAACTAGTTGTGCCATTGCTGCAAACATGCATTATTAATCATTATATATGCGCTAATATATGTCAATATATGCGCAAGAGATAAATTTTATTCAGCTTTAGTGTTTCCAATACATACCATTGGAGGTCTTGGTTGCGGGTTGTACATCCGCCAGAGCCTGCCAAGCTGTAAGTAAAATCGGATCGCGGCTTATTGTGCCGTTATAATTCTTCCAAATTCGCACAGAACCGTCATCGGAACCCGCCATTAGCAGACTTAAATCGTGAGAGTTGATAAACTCGAGTGCAGTGATACGGGATTTCGTTTTGCTGTCGCGACTTGCGCAGAAAGTCAACTTTACACCGTTCTGATAATCCCATACCCTACAAAAATTTTTTATACATTGTTGTTATACATGCTCTATTATTGTAATATTTTTCAGAAATCGAACATCTTTACAATATGAGGAAAGTTCAAATACCCAAAGTAATCTTTCAATGCTACAGCCAAATGCGGCTCGAATGGATGAAAACCTAGGACCTGAGGTGACTGGGAACATCTCGCGTGATACACCTGCGATTCTATCTTGCTTTGCGGCGCGCGTACTTGTTCCTCTTTCGCGTCTTGCCTCTGCTTTGCATTACGTATAAACCTGCGACAATTGAGTACAACATTTAAATGAGCTTAATACTTTAAAGAAATTTTTCTTCCAACTTGATAATTAATATTTGTAGAATTTTTAATATTTCTTACCGCCATTCCCGTTCAAGATATGGTCTGCTCTCCACATCTTCCATTTCATCTTCTAAACTGACGGGCTGAGCAAACTGAGCACAACTCCATTCGACAAACTGAGAAGTAGTCAATGGGGTCTTGGCTCCAGGTATCTCGTCCGCCTCTTCAGATATCTATATAAATATATATAAGGATTATATATTACAAAATAATAATGCATTGTAAAAGATAAAATTATTTTGCAATTGTATTATAATAGCAGTACCTTTAGTTATAATTACTAATACATATTAAGAATATAAAAATTTATTGAAAAAAAGAGTAGTAACTATAATTACATGCACATAAATGCACAATATTATTTGTAGCATTATTTCTTATTTTCTTATAATTTTTCTTCACATTTATTATTTTAAAAAGGTGTAATTTATTGCACTTTTATATGGATTTTATATGGATTTTATTGCTTTTTTATATGGATAATTTTATATGTATATATTTACAATTTTTTAAGAGACAAACGTAAAAAAAAGAAATAATTCTTACTGTATTAGGAACAGGTTTTCTCGTACGACTACTGTGTGGTAGAACTCTCGAAGAACGTAGCAAATCTGGTCCAGAGTTGACAGTCGGTGGTGACTCCCCTTTGCTATTATAATCAAAATGTAAAAAAAACGTTAGAGACAAAATAAATATTATATCTTATTTGAAGTAATTCTTGATTGACCTTAAATAACCGGTTCTATTTGACGGAGATGGTGGAAGAGATAACGACGAGGAGATTTTTGTTTCGACTACCTCTTTAGGAGCAGAAGATGCCTTCACCTGAAATTTAATATTTAAGATAAAATACATAAAGTTAAAGACTCCAAAATAATAATAAATATTTATTATTAATATTTAAGATTTGTCATATAAAAGTAATAATGAAGTAATAAAAGTAATAATGTATAAAGGCTTTTAAACCCCGATGTAGATATTAAGACGTTTAATTACAAAGGTGCAAGAAAGACAAAAGCACAAATCCATTCTTAAAAAAATATAAAAAAAGTGGTTATATATTGAAATTAAAAGATAACAAAACAATCTCGCAAAGCACGATGACAAACGTTTCGGTCTATTCCAGACCCTTCTCAATGACATTAAGCTTGCGCTTTGCGAAATTGTTTTGTTATCTTTTAATTTCAATGTATAACATCATGACTTTTTTATATTATTTGTGCTTCTGTCATTCTTGCACCTTTGTAATTAAACGTCTTAATATCTACGTCGGGGTTCAAAAGCCTTTATTTATTATTACTTTTATATGATTTATATGATTCTCACGATCCTTTGTATTGAAATAATTTTTATTTTTGTGGTTTAAGATTTGTAACAAAAATTACTCTCTCAAAATATACACTGTACAACTCTACAATCAAGTTTTGTGCGATATATTAGAGAGACGTTTATACCTTATTACGAATATGATTGGTAATTTTTTGAGACATAGCTCCAACTGCTGGATGAGGATCGTTGTCGAGATTGCACAGTCCATGCCATAATTTCATATACACACTACCATAAGAGAGACTCGGTAAATTTCCAAGAGAACTATGACCTGCAATAAATAGTTTCATAAAATTTACAAAAATGTTGTTGCTATTATAAAAATATATTTTAATTCAGAAAAAAAAAGAAATGTTGCTATTATACAAAGCACGTGCGATAAGCATTACAAAATTTATCAAAATTGTATTGTAAAGCATTACAAAATTTGTCAAAATTGTATGGAGGTGCAAAATATGCACAAATTATAAAAATAAAGGATTAATTATGTACAAATACATGCAATGAAAATTTCTAATTTATTATTACCAAGTGACTCGCAAGGTTTCCTCACGAACTCCCAATTATTACCTGGCACACGAAAGAATCAATACAAATAACTATTTGATCCAATGTTCAATCAGCATCAATTGACACTTTTGATTGACTTTTCTCATAATACTAATAACCCGATGACTTACCTAAACTGCTAATGGATGACGAAGATGATACCCTTTTGATGCGATCTTGCGTTCCAAAGCCATCGGTCATATCTATTGCATATGTATTATTAGGCGATAACATCTTTAATCTATCGCGTGAACTGATGCGCCTCATACCACTGAACGGAGACAGAGTTTCTACGACGAGGTCCTTCCGACTATTCTCCTCGGCTATAGCTAAGGTCACGAAAGAGTTTTCAAAATGCAGCACCATCCATTGAAGAGCCACTACTAATTCCTATAATTTAGATGGTTTACAATGAGAATCCAGCGTCATCCGATACTTAATTGATTTTAAATCACGATTTGTTGACTTACTTTTCTAACTAGTGGACACATATCGTGAGAGACTGTATTAATAAGCATCATGGCAATAATTTGATCGATATTGTTTGCATGCTCGCTCCTAGTCGTAACGCTGTTTATGAATGTACCCAATGCATACACGCTAGCTGCTCGAACCTATATAAAATATCAAAAAATTTTTCTAAAAATACAGTTGCTACAAATTTAATAAAAATTGTCTTAACTATTAATTTAATACATATATATACAGGCTGTCCGGAAAATCGCCTGCAGTACTTCGAGAAGTGATTCAAGACCTAAAAAGAAGAAAAAAAAGCTATATAAACATAAGTCCGAAAATAAGTCATTTCCGAATTATAGTCACTTTTATGTTAAGAAAATCGTAATTTATAGTTTATGCTTGGCATCTCTCTTTTTTAATTTCTTTAATTTTAAATTTAAATTTAAAAATTAAAAATTAAAATTTTTAAATTTAAAATTCAAATTTAAATTTAAATTTTTAAATTTGAATTTTAAATTTAAATTTTAAATTTAAATTTTAAGATTAAAAATTTTAATTTTAATTTTAAATTTAAATTTAAAATTTAAATTTGAAATTTAAAAAGTTAAATTTAAAATTCAAATTTCAATTTGAAATTTAAAAAGTTAAATTTATTTAAAATTATTTGAAATTTAAAAAGTTAAATTTATTTAAAATTATTTGAAATTTAAAAAGTTAAATTTATTTAAAATTATTTATTTAAAATTCAAATTTAAATTTAAATTTAAATTTAAAATTCAAATTTAAATATTTAAATTTAAATTTAAAATTCAAATTTAAATTTAAAATTCAAATTTTTTAAATTTAAAATTCAAATTTAAATTTTTAAATTTAACATTCAAATTTGAATTTAAAATTTAAATTTAAAGTTCAAATTTAAACTTTAAATTCAAATTTGAATTTTAAATTCAAATTTGAATTTGAATTTTAAATTTAAAATTTAAATTTAAATTTTTAAATTTAAAAATTTAAATTTGAATTTTAAATTTAAATTTGAATTTTAAATTTAAATTTGAATTTTAAATTTGAATTTAAAATAAAAAAAAATTAAAAAAGAGGGATGCCAAGCATAAACTATAAATTACGATTTTCGTAACATAAAAGTGACTATAATTCGGAAATGACTTATTTTCTGACTTATGTTTATATAGCTTTTTTTTCTTCTTTTTCTTGAATCACTTCTCGAAATACTGTAGGCGATTTTCCGGATACCCTATATATGTATGTACACACATATGTATAATATATACATACATACATATACATACATACATACATACATACATACATACATACATACATACATATACATACATACATATATACATACATACATACATATATATATATATACATATATATATATATATATATATATCTGTGCGTGTGTGTGTGTGTGTGTAATGATTAATGATTTCAATAGTTTAATTCAAGTCTATGCTAGATTAGAATATAATAAATTATAATAATATAATATAAAACAATTGTTATTGTTATTCATATAATTGATAATGATTAAAATAGTTACCTCTGGAACGGGATCTTTTAATAACGTAAATAATTTTTCATGAGCAATGTCTCTAACGCCGCACCATCTCGCCTTGTCAAAATTATGCCAAAGTCTAGCCAGACACAAGCAAAGCCATTGTCGTAGCAAAGAATTTGTGTCTCCCAATTGCTCCAAGCATATCGAAACGAGATTACCTTGATTTGCGGCCACTTGACCCGGTCGGTAATCATTTACAATACTAGCTAGTACAAACGCGGCTAACGTTCTGTGTTCACTCTGAAATCACCATCAAACGTACTTTCATTACGACAAAGTTTAATCACCTGGGCAAACTTGACACAATTAAAATTAGATATAACAAACTACCGGAATAGAAGTATCCTGAAGAACAGACAAGAAATATTTATGGCCACCGTCACGCACAAGATCTGCTTGACACGTCTGCAATTAAATCATATGGACTTAGAATATATTTGTAAATCATGTAAAACATGTTATATACATGAGATTGAAGGCTTATCTAAGCATAGAAGACTCACGTTATCCACCGCTAAAATTTTTGCCCATATAAAGACGAGCAAGGGACGAAGCTCTCTGGCATTGCTTTGCAATAATTTTAACACATATGGAAAAATGCCGACACTAAGTGCTAAATTCACAGCCCACGGACCGAGATCAAGAAAACGTCCTAAGAGCTCCAACGCTCTCAATCTATGAACTTGACTCAATAATACTTGAAGAACGATTGGAAGCTGTTCAGGTGGACTGCGATTTTTTGATCCCAAGTTGAGCCATACTTGAAAAGCTGTAAGTTGATCTTCGAAGAATGACGAATGCACATATCGATCTTCGTTTTCTAGAACTGTTGGCAATTGTGCCAAGCACAGATCGAGTGCCATATCCCAAGCTTGCCACATCCGATGCTAAAAAAATAAAAATATCAATCTTTTTATTTTAAATTTAGGAATAAGCAAACCATTTATTCAAAATTTAGACACATTGTACATTATAATAAAAAATTTCTTTTATATAGAATATGGATTACTGATTAATTTACCTGAAAAGTTGGTGGTAATTTTGGGGAAGAAACTGGCGTGCAATCGTAAGAACGAAGTATTCTCTCTGCCAGTAAAAAATTTCTGAAGAGACTAGCAACTAATAGGTCTTGTCTGAATAATCTTTGGAACAAATCTGGAAAACGATAATACTCTTACAATTATTCTATCTTTATTTTAAATCAACAAATATATATATATATATATATATATATATATATATATATATAAACTTTTTTACCTCTTGGTAGAGTATTCCATGCTATTGTGTCAGTAATAGCTGTAAATATCCAATTAAGCTCGCCTAACATTGTTCTTCTGTCAGTCAACTGTCCAGGAATTCTAAAATATATACAAAGATATTTATATAACTTATTGATACATATTTTATATAACTTATTGAAAGATAAATATTTAATAATATGATTCTTACTTGTCAATCAGATCAAGCGATATATTGGGAACTAATTTGGATGTAGGTTGCATCGCAAACCTGAAAAAAAAAGATATATCTGTATATATCTATATGTATATCACATAGAATACATACAAATTCCCTTTTTTGGCTTATATCCCAAATATTTACCAGCGTATTGCAATTTTTATGGGAGTAGTAAGGCATGATGTAAATATATCTGCAGGTAGATTTGGATTCATAGGTAAAATCTGATTAGCTGCGCATGCTGCTAATTGAATACAATTCTTATAGCACGGTGCTGCGGGACATGCCACTCCGGTTACGCGATTTTGCTGTTTTTCCATCTGCAGAGAACAATCGGTAAAATTGCATTAATGTTGATTAGATTTAAAAAATTATAGTTGATTAGATTAAAAATTTTTAAATAAAACTATTTTTTACCTCATATTCCTTCTCATGTTGGTCAGCAAATTGTTGAAAAGATTCTACAATGATACCTGCATTAGAACAATCATATACATAAATACTAGGTGCACCCATCCAAGTCTGTAAGTCATATACCGACAATGGAATGTACTGTGTATATGTCTGTAAAAGTATATTATCATCAATATAAATATTATATTAGATACAATAAACATATGATTCTTCTATCTTTTAATTATAATTGATCTCTATACTAACTCTATTAAATACCCATATTTCACCATTAGTGGTAGGTTTGGGTACACCATGACCATTGTAATGAAACAAGACTCTCTCTTCTTTAGCATTTCGCCTTAAAGATGTACATAATTTTTTAACTTCCTCGACAGTTGGATCTAAACTTTGCTTGTAGCGAGCTCTTGGTTGCCATCGTTCATATTGCTTTTGCAGATTCGAACCTATAGTTTCAAGAGCTTTTTGTGGACTCACAGATAAAGGATCTGAAAAGACATTTATTTTAAAAATCCTGTATTTGTACTTGACTTCATTTGATAAATTTACTATAAATTTGTCTTCAAAGCATAAAAAGTATGATTATTTTGAAAGACTGTCTTAAACTATATAATTTTAGATTAAAGATTGTTCATGTATCGATATATAGTTATGCTTTTATACAAAGCAAAGATATTTCTATTTTTAATTTTGGAGTTTATTGTATGACAAATGACACAAAATAATAGCATATGTAAAGCGCATTTTGCAATATTCTAGTACAAATTAAAATATCAAATTCAAAATTCTTTTAATTTATTTGATGAATATCTGTCATTACACAACAATATGCTGTCACCTCTTTTTGCCAAATTATTTTACATTCTATCTCTTTTGAAAAAATTCCTTAATGTGACAAAGTATTTATATTAGATCACACAATTATTTCAGTCTCCTAAATTCAAAATCAAATTCGTAAATCCCAAAAAAAAATTCCCCACTTGTGGAAATATCACTATATATCTAAATTAAACACAATTGAATCATTAGATTTGTTTTTTATTCTTGAACCAACTGCATTCTTCTCTTTTTTTCCAACTATTAAATCTAGAGCTCATTTTTAATATACATGAATGCAAAAAGGAATAAAAAACAAACCTACAATAGAGTTGAACAGTGTAATACACATGTCTAATCTAACCTCAAAGTTGGAATTACATAACTATTAGTAACGAAAGAGAGAAAAGATTGGCTAACCAAACGCGCGGGATTAATTTAATCACCTATCCAACATTCGAGACGAGCGCAGGGCTGTGTCTTGACGATGTCCGGAGGATCTACGCCAACGTTGAGGCACAGCACCAAAGCGACGCTCACAGTCTTCATCTAAAAAAATAAAAAAAAACACAGGATCAGACAGATTCGATAGCGCGAATCATCGAGAAGCGACGCTCTTGCTAGATCATCGCGTTAGATCGCGATGTCCGTGCAAATAACACGTACCCGCTCTTTCATCCGCCAAGTCTGACTGATACAATTGACGCTCTCGATGGTGGTATTGTGACGAGGCTTACAGAACGCCAACTGCATTTGCCAGTCCTCCTCGTCGCCGGCTCGTCTGAGCGCGTTGTTGAGCATCGTCGAGGTCGTCGAGGTCGTCGAGGTCGTCGAGGTCGACGACGTCGACGACGACGACGACGGGGCTTCGTGACAGGACTTCATTCTGGCGTAACTCACGGACATCGCAGCGCGTCGCGTTATCGCATCCGTCACGTGCGAGGGAGACGGTGTCTTCGTTTTGTTTTTTCTGACGCGTCGACGATGTCGCACAGGCCTCAAGATCGCACTCGCGCCCGCGTCGACAAATGTCACTCACCACGCGAATACGATGTAAAAACACCCCGATGGGGCGCGACTCGCCGAATTTACCGCACAAATCGCCATGTTAACGTCGCGATTGGAATGTCGCCATAAACTCTATTTCCCATCGAATGTGAGATGTGACACGTGACGCGTGAAGCCCGCCGAAATACTTATGGCGGATTCGCATTGCGAATCCGGTGCACGATAACCAATGGGAAGATTTCTTTTCTCACATACCGATAGGTTATTGAAAACAGAGTGTTTATATTTTTATATGTCTATGGTTAAGATTTCAAATTAATGCGGACCATTTGAAATCTTCTCTTTGAAAAATAAATTTAGTGCGTGATAGAAATTTTGCAAATTAATATAAAATAAATTTTTATTCTCTTGTGCAACATTGAAATTTTTCAGAAATAGTAATTAATCCAATGGAATCCATTTTTTGTATCAAAAAATTAGAAATTTATATTTTTTATATTTTAAATTGTATTATAGAATTTTTAAATAAATAATCAATAGACTTAATATATGACAAAAAATATATTAATATGTAATCATATAAATAGTATCACTTTTATATTTAAAAAATCACTTTTTTAAATTCCCAAAAATTATTACAGTCGAATATTTATAATATCGAAAGATTATCGCGACTAAAAATATACATTATTTTTGTTATAAAGTTTTCTATTTTTCTATTCTAATATACATGCTTAGAATGAAAATGTTGTATATTTAATAAGAAAAATATAGTAAAACGATAATGAAAGAGAAGAAATTTAAAATAATCAAAAAATAATTTACAAATAAAAAAATATCCTTTTTTATCATATCGAATTATGTCGTTAATGAGAATATGTAAACGAGAAATTATGTAGAAATTATTTTCTTGTAAAAGATAACGCAATAAATTATTTTTTGTATACGCCATCACTTTTTGTTAATCGATAAAGATGGATGTAATTATTTCGACAAATTTATTTTGACATAAAATTTATTTTGTAAGAAAAAATCTGGATGTCTTTTTAACATAGTAAAACAATAATTTCTCAAATTAAATTTTTCAGAAAATATAGGGAGGAAAAAAATGTGTGAAAATATCTAAAGATAATTATACTTGGTGTAATAAATGTATGCATAACATATTGTATATTTATATTATAAATCAGATTCATTTGTAACAAGATAAGCTGTACAACAAAGAAAAATGAAATTTCCGCAATGTGTAAATATGATTATATTTAACTTGTAATTTAAAAGAATGACCATAAGCTAGATAATATAATAATAATGCATACACACACACACACTCATGCATGCATATTAAAAATCAATTATCAATATGATCGTGTCATCAATATCATCAATATGAAAATTTAATGCGTCCCCTCGGGGGGAGCATTCGCAACTTATCTATTAATTTACATTAACTTATATTATTATTAATTCCTTAAATCTAATCGTATCTCTACTTAATATCCTATTTAACTCATACACACACGCCAATTTTTCCTACTCTCCTACTCTCTTTCAACTTATTAATTCTGCTTTCGACTTACAGTAATATTTCTTCATCCTCTCTCTTTCTCTCCCTCTCTCTCCTCCCCCCCCCTCTCTATCCTTCTCACTCTCTTAATTTGTAGTTGATATATTAATTGTTTAAAAAATTGCTTTAAAAAATAAGTCAAAAAACGCTAATGTAAAATAATTGTAGCCTAAAGAAATATTATTTTATTGCTTAAATATTAATTTTTTATATATAAAAAGTATAACATTAGAAATTTGCATCAAATTAAGTACACTGAAAATATTATGTACGTTATATAATATAATATAATTCTTTTGTTATATTGTTTCAATACTAAAATTCAATACTAAAAATATTAAAATTCAATACTAAGTTTCAATACTAAAAATATTATGTAATATAATTCTTTTGTTATGTGTTGTTGTTTGTTTCAATACTAAAATGATTATATTTAATAAAGTTCAATATATATGATTATTCGATGTATATATACATTATGTATTAATTATGTACGAATTTTATCAAACAAACAATAACAAATTAATGATCTTACACTGCTTATAATATAAAACAATTTTAATATGTTAGAATCTATATCACTTTTTTATATCATCAAATATTATATAAACAAATAATTTTGGAGAAAATTTTCTTATTACTTTTATATTTACTATTAATATTACTTTTATATTTACTATTAATATTACTTAAAATGTTTAAGATTTTGCAACACTGTTAGTGATTGTTGATTGAAGTACAGGATGCATATCGCTTCTGCATTGAACATTTAACCAAAATCCACCTTCCGGCTTTAGCATTACACCTTTTTTGCTGAATTTTAATGGTATTGTTGTTTTTGCACAAGGTTTTAGCTCACATCGTGCTAATAGATGAAAAAGTAAGACTTTTACCTCTAGCATAGCAAATCTATTCGCTATACACATTCTCGGCCCTAATCCAAACGGCATATAGCATGGAGAGTTGTGATACATCTTATTGTCTAAAAATCTTTCAGGACGAAACTTTTCTGGATCATCATAATACTTTGCATCATGATGGATCGCATAAGCCGGAATCCAAACAGTCATACCTTTCTTCATAGTGAAAGGCTTCTCGTCTGGTAACGCGGGTGGTAATTCATAAGTCTCATCACATACTCTTTCTAAGATAATGGCTGGATATAATCTAAGAGTTTCCTTTATTATTGCATCTAAGTATTGAAACTGATTAATAATTTCAAAAGTCACTTGTCCATTCGATTCTTCTAATATTTGATCAATTTCCTGCCGCAATTTCACTTGAACGTCTGGATTAGTTGCAATTTCGTGAGCAACGAAAGATATTGTGGTTGAAGTAGTTTCAAAGCTAGCGAAGGAAAAAATAAATGCTTGCGCAGCCATGTCATCGATGTCAAGCTCTTTACGTTCTCTTTTACCTCTGATATCCATCATCAATTGGATCATATCCGGACGAATAATGTTTTCAGCATCACGTGTAGCGATAGTAGTTCTTATAATATCTTTAAAGAAATTCGATATGTGACTGCTTATAATTTTTACATTAAAAATTCGACCGAACGTTCGAAAAGTCAAAAGAAAAATAATTTTCATAATGGGGAAGTTGGTCGCTTCTTTCCCGTAAACATAAAACTTGTTCGTTGGATCCTTCATAGAATTGATCTTGATTCCAAAAGCACACGTAGCGATGACATCGTTCGTATATTTAGTGAAGACGTCTTTCATATTCATGTCGCTTTTTTCTCCTGGTATCGATGTGGAAAGAAAATTAGCAAAATCCACAGCGCATTCCGACATCAAGGTAAACATCATTTTCATCTTGCTAGATGTAAAAGAGGGACTTAATAGAGTTCGCACATCCCGCCACTTTTGTCCATGAAGAAAAAGCAGATTGTTCGCAAACAAGGGTTCGTTCAAAACACTCAAACTGCGACGATTATGAAATGCTTCGAAATTCTTCACAAGAATAGATTTAATTATTTCTGGATCGCGAAGTAGAAAAATCGGATTTGTCATGGCATAGAATCCAAAGTATTTTGCGTCCGGATTGAAATTATATATCTTGCAAATAAAATCAGCCATTGATATTCGGCGAAATATAACCGATGTCATGTTGCCCAGTATTGGAACAGATGGTACGTGAATCACATCGTGTCTTTTGAAGAAATTGTAATTTCTAAACAGATAATGAATGCCAAGTGCACTAATCACGATTGATAACAATATCGACCAATATTCCATTGTTATTTCAAATTGTCGTTGCAATTTGTTTGCAAAATACCTGCTGAAATTTGATTTAACACACTAGCGAGATTGTTACTACGAATCGCTGCGGATAACTGTTAATGACAGTTTCATACCACCTAATATATTCGCGAATATTTCTGATGCAAAAGTTTTTTTGAGATATATTCTCGACTGTTTTTAATATTTATTTGACCTTTCGTTTATTTTATACTGTGCGCGCGTTGTGCAACGTTTGCATTCTGATTATTTTATGCAATTCGTTTAAGCATTGAAAAAGATCCGTATTGGATTGAAACATACGTTTTGTCGATATATTTTTTATATTTGAACTATTTCTTCGATGGATAATGTTCTTTTCTTGCCATCAAATTTATTAAAGAATATACAAATTTTCTGTCCTAGATTTATGTTCTGATTTTAATTATGTATTAACAACCTATGCCACGGTCCTATGTATTAACAACCTATGCCACGGTGTCTTTTTCTTTTATCAATTTTGATTGTTATCTTACGCCTCGTTATTCCTCTTTTGTATTTAACATTTAAACTAAATAAATTTTTAATATAAAATTGTAACAAATTAAACAATTATTAATTATTAATATTTATTCAAACAAAAGTTTTTACAGCTTATAACACAAATTAATAAAAAAAAAATAGAACAAAAACAATTTTTTACAAATGTTTACAATATATGAAATAACCTATAACAGAGCACATAAGTTATATTACACTATGATTGCAATTGTATTATAAATATGTTATAATTATCATTAGCAATATAACATAATAATTTGATAAAAGATTTTTAATTTTTTTAAAAATATTTTTTAAGAATTAATAATGCCACTAATCAAGTAGTTTCAAAAACAGGATTCATATCGCTTCTACGCTGAACATTCAACCAAAATCTATTTTCCGGCGTCATTCTACTAGTTTTACTGAATTTTATTGGAAACATAGTTTTCGCACAAGGTTTTAGCTCACATCGTGCTAATAGATGAAAAAGTAAAACTTTTACCTCTAGCATAGCAAATCTATTGGCTATACACATTCTCGGCCCTAATCCAAATGGCATATAGTATGGAGAGTTGTGATACATCTTATTGTCTAAAAATCTTTCAGGACGAAATTTTTCTGGATGATCATAGTATTTTGCATCACGATGAATCGCGTAAACCGGAATCCAAAAAGTCATACCCTTCTTCATAATGAAGGGCTCCTCGCCTGGTAACGCAGGTGGTAATTCATAAGTCTTATCACATACTCTTTCTAAGATAATGACTGGATATAATCTAAGAGTTTCCTTTATTATTGCATCTAAGTATTGAAACTAATTAATAATTTCAAAAGTCACTTGTCCATTCGATTCTTCTAATATTTGATCAATTTCCTGCCGCAATTTCACTTGAACGTCTGGATTAGTTGCAATTTCGTGAGCAATGAAAGATATTGTGGTTGAAGTAGTTTCAAGGTTAGCGAAGGAAAAAGTAAATGCTTGCGCAGCCATGTCATCGATGTCAAGCTCTTTACGTTCTCTTTTACCTCTGCTATCCATCATCAATTGGATCATATCCGAACGAATAGTGTTTTCAGCATCACGTGTAGCGATAGTAGTTCTTATAATATCTTTAAAGAAATTCGATACGTGACTGCTTATAATTTTTACATTGAAAATTCGACCGAACGTTCGAAAAGTCATAAGAAAAATAATTTTCATAGTGGAGGGGTTGATGGCTCCTTTACCACAAACAAAAAATTTGTTCGTTGGATCCTTCATAGAATCAATTTTGACTCCAAAAGCACACGTAGCAATGACATCGTTCGTATATTTAACGAAGACGTCTTTCATATTCATGTCGCTTTTTTCTCCTGGTATCGATGTGGAAAAAAAATTAGCAAAATCCACAGCGCATTCTGACATCAAGGTAAACATCATTTTCATCTTGCTAGATGTAAAAGAGGAAGTTAATAGTGTTCGCACATCCCGCCACTTTTGTCCATGAAGAAAAAACATATTGTTTGCAAACAAGGGTTCGTTCAAATCACTCAAACTGCGACGATTAGGAAATGCTTCGAAATTCTTCACAAGAATAGATTTAATTATTTCTGGATCGCGAAGTAGAACAATCGGATTTGTCGTGGCATAGAATCCAAAGTATTTTGCATCCGGATTGAAATGATATATCTTGCAAATAAAATCAGCCATTGATATTCGGCGAAATATAACTGACGTCATACTGCCCAGTATTGGAAAAGACGGTATGTGAATGACATTGTGTCTTTTAAACAAATTGTAATTTTTAAACAGATAATGAATACCTATTGCACCAATCACGATTGATAACAGTATCAACCAATATTCCATTGTTATTGCAAATTGTCGTTGCAATTTGTTTGCAAAATGCCTGACGAAACTTGATTTAACACACTAGCGATGTTGTTACTAATCACTGCGGATAATTGCTGCGGTATGACAGTTTCATACCGCCTAATATATATTCGTGGATCTTTCTGATGCAAAAGACATTTTTCAACTGACATTATTTAAGATTATTGGTTGATGAAAATTACTAAAGAATTAAATTACTAAAGAATTAAATCATTATTAAATCATTAATAAATCATTATTAAATCATTATTAAATCATTATTAAATCATTAATAAAACATTATTAAATCATTATGAATCATGATTCATTGCAAAATACTAATGATTTAATTCTTTAGTAATTTTTATCAACCAATAATCTTAAATAATGTCAGTTTTTTATCTACTGGTGATATTAATATAATATTTACATGATAATTAATATATGAGTACCACAAGATATAATTAAATATTGTTATATTTTTGATGTCAAAATTGTACAATTTATTTATCTTTGTAAAATAAGATTTTTATTTACACACACATACAAATAATTATTTTCAATATAAAAATTATAATATGTTTTGCAATGGAATTAAATTTTTGTTGATGCTATTATATTATGGAATTAATTCTAAAGCGTAGAAAACTCTCTATATGTTACAAATATGAGAGATTTATTTAGAACAATCGAGAAAAAAAGAAATAGAAATGACAACAGGAGTAAAAAATACTCGTATATAAAAATCTTTTGTTTTATACAAATTATTTTACTTAAGATTACTTTATGTGTGTGCGTGAGTGTTTCCTTCGTATGTATATATTTATCAAAAGAAAATGTATCAACATTACTAATTATTAACAGATATTTATTAAATATTAACAGATATTTTCCATATTTTCCTTGAATATATAAAAATAAGAAATATTACACAATTTAATTATGTGCAATCTAAATACATATATCTTGTAAAATAGCGCTATATAAAGACATTTCATTATTTTAGTTAACTTTAATTTTTTATCTGCATTTTTCTGTTAAATTCACTTCTTATCAATTCTTATCGTCTGTTTGTTGATATTATTATGATATGCTAATATTAATCAATATTGAAATAACATATTGTGAATAATGATTGTACAGTTTTGCATTAGTTATTATTATGTTATTCTAATAAAATTTTGTCACAAAATGTTACATCAAAGCATAAACACGTCAACTATTATTTGAATAAGGAATGTATGTGTGTGTGTGTGTGTGTATGTGTGTGTGTGAACAAGATTATGTAATTATGTAATATGTATATTTTTCTATAAAATAAATGCTATTACTATAAGTAAACAAATTTTTAATAATAAATTTCTTAACAGATTTTGAATTGCATATTTTAACAAATAATACTTCAATTGCGTAATATATATGCAAGTCGAATATATTACTCTCAACTGTGTTCGCATATAGATATATAAAATTCCTCATTGTTGGTACACAAGATATAATACAATATAATATGTATCGAATGATATGTGCACATGCAATTGACATTTAACATTTAAACTAAATAAATTTTTAATATAAAATTCCAACAAATTAAACAATTATTCATTATTAATATTTATCCTAACAGATGTTTTTGCAGGTGTTTATAACACGAATTAACGAAAAAAAAACAAAACAAGAACAATTTTTTACAAATGCTAACAATATATGAAATAACCTGTAATGGCGCACAAAAGTTATATTACACTACGATGGCAATTGTATTATAAATATGTTATGATTATCATTAGTAGTATAATATAATGATTTAGTAAAATATTTGTAATTTTTTAAAAATATTTTCTAAGAATTAATAATGCCTCTAATCAAGTAGATTCAAAGACAGGATTCATGTCGCTTCTACGCTGAACATTCAACCAAAATCCATTTTCCGGCATCATTGTACTATTCTTGCTGAATTTTATTGGCAACATAGTTTTCGCACAAGGTTTCAGCTCACATCGTGCTAATAGATGAAAAAGTAAGACTTTCACCTCTAGCATAGCAAATCTATTCGCTATACACATTCTCGGTCCTAATCCAAATGGCATATAGTATGGAGAGTTGTGATACATCTTATTGTCTAAAAATCTTTCAGGACGAAACTTTTCGGGATCATCATAATACTTTGCATCATGATGGATCGCATAAACCGGAATCCAAACAGTCATACCCTTCTCCATAATAAAAGGTTTCTCGCCCGGTAATGCGGGTGGCAATTCATAAGACTTGTCGCATAATCTATCTAAAAGGCCGACCGGTGGATATAATCTGAGGGTCTCATTTATCACTAGGTCTAAATATTCAAACCGGTTAATAATTTCATAAGTTATTTCTCCGTTTGATTCTTCCAGTATTTTGTCGATTTCTTGCCGCAACTTGTTCTGAACGTCTGGGTTAACCGCAAGTTCGTGAGCTGCGAAGCACATTGCAGTTGAAGTAGTATCGAAACCACCGAAGAAAAAAACAAACGCTTGCGCAGTCATGTCATCGATATCAAGCTCTCTCCGACCTTCTTTACCTCTAATATCCATCATCAATTGTATCATATCCGGACGAATAATGTTCTCGGCATCACGCGTAGCGATAGTAGTTCTTATAATATCTTTGAAGAAATCCGACACGTGATTACTTATAAGTTTTACATTAAAAATTCGCCCGAGCGTTGGGAAACTTATGAGAAAAAGAGATTTGAGACCAAAGATGTTGGTCGCCTCTTTACCATAAACATAAAACTTGTTCTTTGGATCCTTCATAGAATTGATCTTGATTCCAAAAGCACATGTAGCGATGACGTCAGTCGTATATTTAGTGAAGACGTCTTTCATGTCCATGTCATTGTTTTCCACTGATATCGTGGAAAGAAAATTAGCAAAGTCCATAGCGCATTCCGACATCAAGGTGAACATCATTTTCATCTTACTGGATGTAAAAGAGGGACTTAATAGAGTTCGCACATCCCGCCACTTTTGTCCGTGAAGAGAAAACAAATTGTCCACAAGCAAAGGATCGTTGAGATCATTGAAACCGCGACGATCAGGAAACGCTTCGAAATTCTTCACAAGGATGGACTTAACTATTTCTGGATCACGAAGTAGAAAAATCGGATTTGTCGTGGCATAGAATCCAATATATTTTGCGTCTGGATTGAAATTATATATCTTGCACATTAAATCGAAGAACGAAATTCTGCGAAATACAAGTGATGTCATGTCGCCCAGTATTGCAACAGACGGTATGTGAATGACATTGTGTCTTTTAAAAAAATTGTAATTTTTAAACAGATAATGAATACTTAATGTACCAATCACGATTGATAACAGTATTAACCAGTATTCCATTATTATTGCAAATTGTTGTTGCAATTTGTCTGCAAAATGCCTGTCGAAACTTGATTTAGCGCACTGATATGGTTACTACGAGTCGCAGTAGATAACTGTTTGTATGACAGTTTTATAACATAATATGTCCGATGTGTAAGCTTTTATACTGACGTCATATAAGATTAATGATTAGTACTGGCGAGACATTGATACTTTGTTCGAACAATAAGTCGTGAATATTTCTTTATGAACTGATGATATATATATAATGTGTTTACATATTGTTAATATGTATCTATATATTATATTATTATTAATATATGAAATCTAAAAAACTTATAACTATACGTATTGAAATTATAACTGTATATATTTAAGATTATACATTGTCATATTTTTAAAATCAGAATTGTTGCAATTTACTTATACAAAATAAGGTCTGCAATATAAGATTTTTATTTATATACAAATAAGTATTTTCAATGTAAGTATAATATGCTTTATAATATAAAATTAACTTTTTGTTTTATTATTATTGAATTAATTCTAAATTATAGAAAACTCTTTCTATATATGCTACATATATGTGAGAAATTTATTTAGAACAGTCGAAAAAACAAGAATGAAAATGACAATAAAAGTAAATAACCATAAAAATGTTTTGTTTTCTTACAGATAATTTTACTTAATATTATTTTGTGTGTCTGTGTGTGTATATAATAATTTTCTTAGACTATATATATATATATATATATATATATATATATATATACATATAGTAGTTTTCATTTGATCAAATAATTTTTTGCGAGTATATATATATATATATATATATATATATATATATATATACTCGCAGAAAATTATTTGATCAAATGAAAATTATCCATTATTACTGAATATTACTAGATATTTTCCTAAGATATGTTCCTTGAATATGACAAATAAAAAATAATATACAAGTTAATTATATGCGATCTAAGTATGTCTTGTATAAAATATCGCTATATAAAAACATTTTATTATTTTAGTTAACTTTAATTTTTTTTCTGTATTTATCTATTAAATTCAATTCTTATCATATCTTATTTATTTACTGATATTATTACGATGTGCTGATACTATTGTGATTATAACGATATCACAAAAAAAATTCATGTGTAATTATACGCAGCAGATTATTTACGATTCTGAATATAAAAAATTGCAACGTAAACTTTATATTTTAATAAAAATTAATACTCTCCTGTTATTTATTGTCAGCACTTAATCAATATTGAAATAACACATTGTAAATAATGATTGTGCAGTTTTGCGTAATTATATGTAAATCTAAAATTTACGTCATACATAAAATATTACATCAAAATATAAACATATCAACACTTATTTGAACGAGAAATGTATCGCTGTGCATACACACACACACACATGTGTGTGTGTGTTAACAAGATTATGTAATATGTAGATATTTCTATAAAATATATGCTATTACTATAAATATAAATTTTTAATAATAGATTTCTTAACAGATTATGAACTGAATTTTGTAGCAAACAATTGTTTAAGCTTATTAATATATATATTAATATATATTAAAGTCGAACTTATAAATCTCTAAAAAGTGAGTTCAATCGTTATCGAAAAATTTGATAATACAAAATGCTCTCAATTGTGTTTGCATATATATGGATTTCTCCGCTGTTCGTACGCAAGATACAGTATAATATATATAGAATGATATATGCATACATAATTGATATTTAAAGTAAATAAATTTTTAGTATCAAATTCTAACAAATTAAACAATTATTCACTATTAATATTTATCCAAACAAATATTTTTGTAGGTGTTTATAGCACAAATTAACGAAAAAAACAAAACAAAACAAAAACAATTTTTTACAAACGCTAACAATATATGAAATAATCTGTAATGGCGTACAAAAGTTATATTACACTACGATGGCAATTGTATTATAAAAATGTTATAATTATTATTAGTAATATAATATAATGATTCGGTAAAAAAATTTATTATTTTTTAAAAATATTTTCTAAGAATTAGTAATGCTATTAATCAAAGTAGATTCAAGGACAGGATTCAGAGCTTCTACGCTGAACATTCAACCAAAATCCATTTTCCGGCATCATTGTAACTTTCTTGGTGAATTTTATTGGCAACATAGTTTTCGCACAAGGTTTCAGCTCACATCGTGCTAATAGATGAAAAAGCAAAACTTTTACCTCTAGCATAGCAAATCTATTCGCTATACACATTCTCGGCCCTAATCCAAATGGCAAATAGCATGGAGAGTTGTGATACATCTTATTGTCCAAAAATCTTTCAGGACGAAACTTTTCGGGATCATCATAATACTTTGCATCATGATGAATCGCATAAACCGGAATCCAAACAGTCATACCCTTCTCCATAGTGAAAGGTTTCTCGCCTGGTAATGCAGGTGGTAATTCATAAGACTTGTTGCATAATCTTTCTAAAACGCCGACAGGAGGATATAATCTGAGGGTCTCATTTATGACTAGATCTAAATATTCGAACCGGTTAATAATTTCATATGTCACTTCTCCATTTGACTCTTCCAGTATTTTGTCGATTTCTTGCCGCAACTTGTTCTGAACGTCCGGGTTAATCGCAAGTTCGTGAGCTGCGAAGCACATTGCAGTTGAAGTAGTATCGAAACCACCAAAGAAAAAAACAAACGCTTGCGCAGTCATGTCATCGATATCAAGCTCTCTCCGACCTTCTTTACCTCTAATATCCATCATCAATTGTATCATATCCGGACGAATAATATTCTTGGCATCACGCGTAGCGATAGTAGTTCTTATAATATCTTTGAAGAAATCCGATACGTGATTACTTATAAGTTTTACATTAAAAATTCGCCCGAGCGTTGGGAAAGTCACGAGAAAAAGAGATTTGATGCCAAAGATGTTGGTCGCCTCTTTACCATAAACATAAAACTTGTTCTTTGGATCCTTCATAGAATTGATCTTGATTCCAAAAGCACATGTAGCGATGACGTCAGTCGTATATTTAGTGAAGACGTCTTTCATGTCCATGTCATTTTTTTCCACTGATATCGTGGAAAGAAAATTAGCAAAGTCCAAAACGCATTCCGACATCAAGGTAAACATCATTTTCATCTTACTGGATGTAAAAGAGGGACTTAATAGAGTTCGCACATCCCGCCACTTTTGTCCGTGAAGAGAAAACAAATTGTCCACAAGCAAAGGATCGTTGAGATCATTGAAACCGCGACGATCAGGAAACGCTTCGAAATTCTTCACAAGGATGGACTTAATTATTTCTGGATCACGAAGCAAAAAAATCGGCGTCGTCGTAGCGTAACATCCAAAATATTTTGCGTCTGGATTGAAATTATATATCTTGCAAATAAAATCGATCATTGATATTCGGCGAAATATAACCGATGTCATGTTGCCCAGTATTGGAACAGACGGTATGTGAATGACATTGTGTCTTTTAAAAAAATTGTAATTTTTAAACAGATAATGAATACTTAGTGTACCAATCACGATTGATAACAGTATTAACCAATATTCCATTGTTATTGCAAATTGTTGTTGCAATTTGTCTGCAAAATGCCTGTCGAAACTTGATTTAACGCACTAGTGATATGGTTACCACGAGTCACAGTAGATAACTGTTTGTATGACAGTTTTATATAACACAATATGTCTGTTTTCTGCTGTGTAAGCTTTGATACTGACGATATGTATATAATGTGTTTACATAGTGTTACGCGCGCGCCCGAATCGTTAAGGCCCGTTGTCCGGATCCCGTTGATAGGAAGATTGTCAACAACAACAGTCAGCTGAATTTGGAGCCAGCTGTCTTGCTGTGCGGACGTGTTTTCTCTCGAGCCGATCCGTTGCATTATTATTCTGTGTTATTAACGTTATCGTTTGTGTTCTTGAGTTGCATTAAAGTTCCTTTGCTTCTTTAAAAGTGCTTATTTATTTCTCGCGAGCGGTCGATTCATTAGTGCGCGCCTTCGATATTAATCGAAGTCTTCGCCGCGAGTGTAACAATATTGTTAATATGTATCTATATATTATATTATTATTAATATATGAAATCTAAAAAAACTTATAATTATACGTATTGAAATTATAACTGTATATATTTAAGATTATAGCTATACATTGTCATATTTTTAAAATCAGAATTGTATAATTTATTTATACAAAATAAGGTCTGCAATATAAGATTTTTATTCATATACAAATAACTATTTTCAATGTAAGTATAATATGCTTTATAATATAAAATTAACTTTTTGTTTTATTATTATTGAATTAATTATAAATTATAGAAAACTCTTTCTATATATATGCTACGTATATGTGAGAAATTTATTTACAACAGTCGAAAAAACAAGAATGAGAATGACAATAGAAGTAAATAACTATAAAAATGTTTTGTTTTCATACAGATAATTTTACTTAATATTAAAAATTAAATTAAATTAAAATAGCTGCTTAAAAAAAAAAAGAAAAATCTGAAATAGGAAAAATTTAAAAGTAGAAACTGTGACCATCGTTTAATTATATTAACTGTTTTCGAAATGTAATATATATGTATAAAACAAGATGTATGCGAAATTTGTAAAGAACATAAAATTGTTTATTGAATATCAAGTTTTACAAATATTATCACACACTTGTTATGAATGTTTTCGTCTCAGGGCGGGCTTCCTTATATCTCTCGTATATCGTACAAATATAAGATTTATATTCAATATATATATATATATATATATATATATATATATATATAATATAGCTATGTATATATAATATATATAAATACTCGATCTTGTAAAGTGGCGATGTGTGTTTCTTTCATACTTATGTACATCGATAAGCCGATTGCGTTTCTTAATCGCGATTACCGTCGGTTTTATAAATGTTAATACTAGATAATTTATTTACTTGCTAGTTTATAAATGCGGATGATCGATTCGTTGATGAGTAATGAGAATAAGAAATGCATCAGTGCGCAATGTGACACGATCAAATGCAAACCAGCCTCTAACATTTCGTATTTCGTCTGTCTCCGGAAAATTCTGCGCGATAAAAAACAATAAATAATATTTTATATAGATAAATATTTGTTATGTATATATATGTATATATATATATATATATATATATATATATATATATATATATATATACGTAACTATGCTAATTATACTTT